GATTATTGCTTATCTGTAAGAGTTAAAAATCAGTTAAAAAACATTAAATTAATTTCAAAGTTTTTTGGTTTATTGAGTAGACTTTGTTGAATATTTATTTTTAAAGATAATCTAATATTTTAAATGAGAAAACAATATGTCTAATCAATATATACATATATTCATACATAATTTCTCTATATTGTAGTAAGTTTTTTCCCACTGTCTATTTAATCTTTTCTCTCTTATTCTAGAATAAAAGAAGAGCCTCATGTCATTAAATAAAATGTCAAGGGCTTTCTGAAACAGTGAACATTTAGGCTTTTTTCATCATAGCTAAATCAGTGGAGTTTACTGTCTAATCTAAATCATTAAATAACTCACTTTGAAACATTGTGCATATTATATCAAAGGTTTTACTGTCTTCAGTCTAGACTCATGGAGATGTAGGATGGATATTTTGCCCCCAAATTGGTTTTATGTTGTATGTACAGTACCCTGTTAAAGCTACCTAAACTTTTTCTTCTAATAAACTACATTAAAACCTAACCCATTGTATTATGATATTTCTGACAATTTTTTTTCTTGCTTTTTATTATCACAGGGATAAAATTTATCATAAACGGTTTTTCATCTACAAATCATGTCAGTATTATTAAAAGAATTCTAAGTTGGGAGAAATTTTCAAAATTTAGCATTTTTGAAAGGTTTCTGTTGTATCTTGAATCACTGTCTTTCACTAGAAGGATTTTTTAAGGGTAATTGATTTTATGGTACAAAGGAAAAAAAATTTATAGAACAATCTGTATCAAGAAGAGAAGGCATCCATTGAAAAACTGTACAGAGGCAGATTGTTTTGTAGAAGATTTATACACTTCTGTACATCAAGGGAGCTTTGTCAAAATTTGTATTGGCTTTAGTAATTCAGACACTCTTGGTTATATCCCCTAATGTTATATTCATGAACTGAAGTATAGACTAGAAATTCTTCTTAAGACAGTCAGATGGCGTATATTGTATATAGCAACAAAGATAGATGCAGATTTCTATTTCAATGCCAATTTAGCCTCCACAGGAGTTTCGGAGGAAGTTAAATGTATTTCACAGCAACTCACTTCACTGCATTCTGCAAAATCTGCAATTAGAGGATTCAAACAGTGATTCAGAAGTTTCTAAATTTTTCTCAGAGATCCTCTGAAGACATTGCAGAGATTTTAATGAATTAAATTATTTTTTACCTCATTTAGTATCAGAGATACAAAGAAGATGGCAAAGAACTGCCAGCATACTTCACTCAAAGAAGGGGGATATTTCAGAGCCCATCATGACCAATTAACAGATCAGAAAGGTTGCATTGATGACTGTACTTTGATAAACGCTCTTTTACTCAAAGACATAAGCAAAATATTCTAGGACAATATAATCTGGAAAATCATACTCAGATACAATGCTGTTCAAAGTTTTCTTTTGTGATACAATGCTCTTCAAAGCATTACAGAGCATACTGTCTATCTGAGATGATATGTAATATGCATTTGAGATGCCTTCCACTGAGAGAAAGATTTTGAAAAAGGTTTCTCACAAAGGTGCTATGATCTTGTGGGGAAGCAAAGACGTACTATTCCGGAACAATTAATATGAAGCCTTACTAATAACTAAACAATCCTTTGAGCTTAATTTCAATGTTACTTGCTTAACTGTAGCATCTTCCCGAGAGACTACTCTGCCATGTCAAAGAGCATAACATGGGAAGACTATCAGAAAGGGAAGTCCTTCTCAGGTGAATGGGGAAATGGTAGAAACTAGAAGCTATGTGATCTGAGCAAAAAAAGTCAAGACCTGAGAAAGAGATTCAGAGAATCTCGGTACACTGTAGACCAGTTTCATGATGTCAGTGGATAACAAAATAAAAGGAAGCTAGTGTTAAAAGAAGTGGAGAAGACTAGAGTCAGGAAAGAAGCATTACCGTCAAAGTTCAGATGGCCATGGAGAACAGATCTGTTCAAATTACAGCCAGCATCACCGTCCTCCCTAGACAGCAGCATCAGAATGTCAGCCAAGCTGAGAGCACTGCTTTCAAGTCCTTGTGAAAGCTCCAGAACAAGATAAGATAATGAATTTATAATGAGCTATTTTACTTAATGGTTTGCCAAACAAGGTTTCCAAGCTTGGAACACAAGTAGAACTTAGGAATCAATGTTTTTCTCTTCACAAATTCCCTTTCCCTCTTTTTATTGTTACAGGATCTTTTATTTAATTTTGTTATTCTCTTCTGTTGGTGACAGAAAACTTCAAACTCTTCATTGAATTTGAAGAGATAAGATCTCAAGACAGCAGTGCTCTTTGAAATGAGCCAAACCACCATGAAATAGGAGAGCAATGATCTGTTCTTTTCCCTTCTGACCAGATGAGTATAAAGCATTTTCCTTTCTGACAAGGGGATATCTGAAAAGTTCAATTGACAGGCACACATGTCAATGCAATTTATTGCATACTACTAGAATATAATGTTCAAATAAGGATTGTCTTGCATAATCACCTCTTTTCCAAAAGATTTATTGTGGGGGTGAAGGAAGAGAAAATGGCAATGACAAGGAGAGAAAGGTTGAGATTTAATACATAACAACAATATGCTGTTTTTCTAAGACCTCAAGAGTTCAGCAGAGCATAGTTTCTACTGGGCATTGGACACTATATAGGAAGAGCTGTCCATTTGAAAGTAGCAAACAATCTAAAAATGTTAGAGGCATCTGGCACATATAATGCCACTATTTTCACCTTATCAGAAATCAAGAATGAACCAAGATTGCCAAAGAAGGCAGTGGCAAAACAGGGCAATGGTTAAAACATCTCAGTCTAGAAAAAGAATAAAATCTTTAAAGCCTTTACCAGCTGCATGGTTTTCTACCTAGTGTCTGAATATCACTGAGATGGAAAGACCAGGGTCTAAACAGATTAGTTTCATAAATTTCCGGTGTGACAACCGTTCTGTTGCTTCCTACTGTTTTACATTTTTTCAGAGCTGGTTGCTTCTGTCAAAGGCTGGGCCAGTCCTTCCGTGTTGTATAAAGTACATTTCTCAATTAACAAATGCTTTTACTTGTTCCCTACTCTGAGAACTTAGTATACTATCTTCAACTATATTGATGAAAAGAAACTTTGGTTTCAACCTGTCCCTTCACCTGATCAGTGTTATTTATTGATGTACCAGTCAGAAAGTTATGCAAGAATTAAGAAGTCACAGACAGATGTCTCCAAGTATTTAAAAGATTTAAATTTATCTGCCTACTTCTCTTTTCCCCTTCTGTTATCATGCTAAATGTTCTCACAAATTACTTAATTATTTTCCCCATGGCTGAAATAAAGCTTCAGGGTTTAGGGTTCCTAAAGGCACTGTGGCATATTTTTTTCATATATGGAAACAACAAAATAGTGCAATAGAACAGCTTTTCACAGCAACATTTTGCAAATAATTCTTCCTTCTTCATTTCCTTCTGAACTCTTGTATATTGTATCCTAGTGGCTGGTCCTGAGCCTTAAAGGGAATTTAGTTGTATGATTCTGAACATATAATCTGCCTCCCTTCCCCCACCACCCCACCCCCCAATTTGTTTGCCAAATGGGTATCTAATTTACATTCACAATTATCTCAATTGCATGCATAAATGAGCTAATGAAACACACAAATGTGTAACTGGTCATAAATAGTAATTTCCATGTGCAATTGAAGTAATTGCATGCTCCTCATGATTTTGAAAATCAAGGACTTAATGTAAATTTGATTCAAGTTTATCTTGTATAACAGATATATTTAAAGATTAAGTTTATCACTTAACAAAAGCAGCAGTCTTTTACTATTATGTCTTTTTTTCCATTATGCTTAATTGGTGGATAACAGTGTTTAACATTGCAGTGACTTCTTTTTTCTGATAAGCAGGGTTCAGATCTATTTATGCACTATATTGTGTCACAATAACCACAGTTTTATACTCCTTTAAACAGTGTTTTTATAAAGAATTATTCATTTGATGCAAAGAGATTCTGGGGAAAGAAATAATAAGTCATGTAACTATTTTCATCCAAACATTCTGATTCATAATAATCACATTACAGAAATAACTAATTAATTTAACTCTTTGTTTTAGTCATAGGTTTTGACAAAATCTAACTCTCATTTTCCATTTCCAAATATAGGCAAATCTTGTAGCTCTTGTTACTTATTCTACTCCCATCCCATCTTTTTTTTTCTCTTAGGTTGCAGTTGCTGTCTGGATAACACACTAAGACTTCTATGAGAGAGATTAGCAAGTGCCATGGTGTGACTGAATGACTCTGAAGTATTATGCAAAAACTGCTATATAATTGCATGAAAAGACTCACATATTTTCTATTAATAAACTGTATGGTGTAGAGACCAAGAATGTATATTGCAGAAGCAGTTTTAAGTCATCAGATGTAGTCCATTTTAAAATTAAAATGCATATTTCAATTGTTTGACTGGTATGATTAGACTGTAAACAATATAATTCAATTGCAGGGGTTGAGCTTTCATATTCTGCAGGTAAGATCTGACCTAGTATTTTTCTTCCAATGGTTTTAACAATAGGAATAGGGTTGATAAAAGCAGAGACAGAAATATTATGTTCATTATTGCAAATAATACAGAAACATTACTGAATAACAATAGCTGAAAGAGTAATCCAAAGTATATTAAGAGGATAATGTTGATTATGTTTACAGTTAGATGACAATTTATGGCTGAATGCCATTCAAAGCATTTTACAAATTGGGCTTTGATCCTGTAATCTATTCCACTCAGGAAATCCCCTGAGCCATCTGTGGGACAAGTGTACAGAATATTTTGGTCTTGTCATGCAAATATGATTGTACCATTCATGTCCAAGGCCTAATAGTTTGATGAGTTTTGTAATATAAATTATGTTTATTAAAAAAATCCATTAGAACAAAAATTCAAGTTAATGAGTAGAAGCCAGTAAAGGAGGAAAAATATTCAAACTTGCCTTCAATAGCTGCTGGTTTATTTCTTGGACTATGTTCTAGAAGAAGACGAGGCGGTACCATTTCCTTATGTCCTGCGCATGAGTATACAGGTTAAGAATTATAGTAAATGTATTCACTAAGAGACTGAGCAGACCCATGGGGAGGCTGAGTTCCCTTCATATTTGTTCATGTTTAAAATATTACACTCTGCATAAAAGCTATTATCTTCCACACACTATAGGAAGGAAATATATTTCTAAACAAATAAAGTAATTTATTTCTAAGAGGCACATTTTAAATCAGTGAAGTCCAAGTGACTCAAGCATATGCTGAAATGCTTACAGTTCTATTTTTCTTCATTAGCCTAAAAAAGTCTGAATAATAATACTGTGATAATAAGGTTACATATTCATGATGCGTCTTCTACAGTAAAAGCTTATTTTCTTCTGTCAAAAAAATGATCTTCAGTTGTTCCCTCAAGTCCTCTTATTATGAACTTCCTGAAAGACCAGTAAAAATTATTATGTTTCTCATCCTTATGAATTATTCTTAATTAACCAGTACCAACCAGGTCATGTACTGTAAACACTGACGATGTTCTGATTCCAGGTTCTGACTGAATGTCCCCTACTCTCTCAGAGTGTTGAATCGTACTCTGTCATAGTATTAAACTGGGACTTTCTGGGCTGTCTTAGCCTATATGTAGATAATATGCTTTGTCCAAAATACTTTTTATTTCCCCAAAGATTCAGAAACGGTTCTATTGCACTCTTAAGTTACTTATGCTTCTTTTCTTCTTTATAACACCCATCTGCAGTCTCCTTATTTCCTTTAATTTCTTTCTCTGACATTTATGCTCAGTACCTATTGTGTCATTGTCATTTAGAAAGCACAATTTGTTGTGTCCTGTGGAATAAAATTAATTAGTTAAATATAATACCAATACAGTCATAGGTACCAGGCTACATTCACTGCACGAGAGCCCACATGCAATCAGGCTGTTAAATCTCAGCTCCAGCTCCACATCAGAAACTCAAAGCCATGCGTCACGATAGACTCAGAAGAGAAATTAAGATCTTAATGAGCCCTGGAAAGTGTCATACTTACCCTTCTCATTTTGCAAAGGTATGTGTACTCATGGGGAATGCATGAGAAAAACATCATGCAGATGGCAGAAGTGGGAAGGCAGAAGTGGGATTTGAGCACTGTGGTCTTAATGTTATTGTATCTCATCAGCATATGTACAATTGCAGGCAAATAATTTGCAAGTGTGTTGCTTAGTTCATCTGGTAATTTGTATAAAGTATCACACATGGAGCCGCTCAAACTTGACTCACATGCCCAAGACACTGAAAAAATGTCGACATATTGAGAAAATCAATGCACTGAAGGCACTGTGCAACAAATGGTAAAAATCATAGGTTTTACACAAATTTCCTATCTTGGCAATAATCATAACTGAGTCTTTACCGATCTCATCACAGAATGACTGTAGCCTTAAAATGAATAGCAGTCAAACTTCAGGAATTCAGATGTCTAGCCATGATTTTCCAAACATTTTATGTCTTAAAAAGAATGATCTCGAAATTGCAAGATCTGAGCTGATGAGATGCTGAATGCCATTTGTTCCCAACCAGAATAGAGAAGTTAAATCCATAACCTCTGTCAACATAAACTTCATTTAAGTTAATGAAGTTTCTAGTTCAGAATGAGAACAAAAGCAATATAAATATTAATGAATAATAGGCAAATAATCTTATTCTTTCTGCTAAATTTTATTAAAATCCTAGACTAAAGATTTGGGGTTATTTTCCCTTTCTTTTTTTTTTTTTTTTTTCTTTTCCTAAACTATATCACCTATCCCTCAATGGAAAAAGTGATAAATTTTATAATTTGGACTAATTGCTTTGTGTGAAAGATGATAAAGGGCAGTGACTCAGAATGTTGAGTAGATCAGTAATGAAGAAGGATAGCCAATAATTTGGACCACAGTGTGGTATCTACTGTGTGAGGCAATGATCTAACACCTCTAGGTCAAAATATAGGCTGGCTCCATTATCTTCCTGTTCTTTGCTCTAGTAACAGTTTTATAACGATTGCACCAGTGTTAGTTAGTATAATGCCAGTGCGATACCACTTATTGCTAATGACTTGTCAAGTTCTATTTTATAGTTTTATAGGTTTTAAGCAAATCATTTATTTCATGCAAATTGACCACATGATCCAATATAAGAGTGTTTTAAGCACCAAAAGCTTAAGCTTCACAGATCAAAAACTTTCCCTTAGGCCAGAATGTTTGTTCTGAGCAGGTTCCTATCCAGTCTGATAAAAAGCTTCTTTAATGTTTCCATGTGTTATTAAATGTCTCTCTATTCACTTTGATGGAAATGCAAAGGACAGTAGCTGAATAAATATTTTATCTATTCTTTTGATGAAATATGTTAAAGGGGATATCCTGAGTCAAATTTCCTTTCTCTTCCTTTTTTCTTTCCTCTGTAAGTTATAAAGCACAAGTGGTTTTCTGCAGTACAGAGAACTCAGAAATAGAAATGAGGAATTTGCCTCAGCAGATCAGACCATTAAGTTTAATGGTGTCTACTATCTTGACTCCAGCAGTGGCCAGCTGGACACATATCCATGATGTAAATGAGAGGAAAGCAGGATATTTTTAATGATCCCAGTGGACAATCAGATCAGTCTATGAATCATGAGAAGTCATTATCCAGATTACCACTATTATTATTGGACATACAGTTATGTTACTGCTTTAAAAAAGAAGCTACAGAGGAGCACTGAAATTTAGTGTCTGCATAGTTATTTGCTTTTCATTTCAAATGCAGTCTTGATTTTTCTACTGTGAGATAAGCCTAAACGTTTCATTTCATTTGATACCTTTTTTTAAAATTTTTCTTCTATTAGGGTTTGATTACTCCAAAAGACATAACTGCAAACAAAAAAATGTGCATACATTTCTATGCCTAATCTGTCGATGCAAATATCAGTTGTAAACAGTTATCTGGCAACAAATTACAGGAGATGGAAATGAAAATAGTGAAATGTTTTGACTTTAGTCTTGTAGGAATATGCACAACAGGAGAAAAAGTGTCATGTTAAGCATGCCTGAAAGGAAAGATATATGGTGCAAAGATGAGTAGACACTTTAAGACACTAGATGGTAACATGAATACTTCATTGAAAATAAGCTACAGTCCTCAAGCTCTGTGAAACTTCTGTCATCAATGTTTATTAAATCACTTGAGATGTCATGAAGAAATTCATTCTGACTTTATGAATATTTTAGATTTTATATTACATGATAAGGAATACAAGACAAACTTTAATTACCTTACTTTTCTCAATCTAGGCAGTGTCCTTCTATATGTGTCAAAGATGTCATGTCCAACCATTGAGGATAAATTGATTTCTTTTAACAGCAAATCATGTGGGTTTTAATTTTTCCCTGATATGCCCAGTTTCATTTCTCTGCAGTGATCTTAACTGACATAGATAAAATACCTAAATTTATTTCTCTAAAACAATAGATCATGGAATAAAAGAAAATATTTCTTAAAATATGCTAAAATTATTATTATTCTAAACCAACTAAAGGCATGGTAGATGGCTGAATATTCCAATTGCATATGGGGATAAATAATGCTGTAACAGAAAGTAGTATGTGGAAACACCATTCCTATGACTGTGCAATTCTTCATATCCACATACCGGTATGTGAACTGCAGGAATCCTACAATCCAAGAACACCAACACTTTGTTACTGTGTCTTTCAAAGAGCACAGCAAAATGTCTTCAGATACAACTCATTCTGCCCAGATACGACATCTTTCTCTAAAGACAGTAGAAATAATTAAAATAAAGTAAGTGTGTTATTGCAGAGTAATTTGTTATGAAAAGTCAATCAGATGTTTCATGAAGCTTGGAACAAGACATGTAACAGCAGAATGAGGTAAGACTGCCAAATATGCTTTTAGAGGATTGAAATCTATTTTAATAGAGTCCCACTGTCCTGTCCAGGCTTCCAGTTTTGACGTGTAAGTTGTGTGAAGCTAAAGATGAACCTCTCCCTTGTTATTAGTTACTGTCCAGACATTAGACTGTCACTATTCTGAGGAAGGGTTTTTCTACTTAGTATACATGCATGAAAACACATGGGCAAACTGTTTTTCATTAAGAAAGAATAGCTGAGGATCAAGAGCTGTGATTGTGTAACTGTTCTGAACAATTCAAATGCTCATTCTGGGGAAGAAATGAATTGAAATACAAGTGCCCCAAATAGGCAGTCTTTCAAAGGAACACATCATAACATGATGTTTTTATATACACTAGTAAATTAAATGGTGTCTGGGAATGTTACTGGGCTTTGGAATAAGGACGTACATATCCTGCAACATTTTTTTGAATAGCCTGTGACAATTTTGTCCTGTCCCAAGCAGCAATATCTCAAAAAATTCACTGGCTCAGGTCAGGAGTCAGCAATGTCCAGGGACCACTCCCAGTAGAGAGCTGCTGATATGCAGCCAGCACATGACCTTGACAAAGTATAATGGATATGGATCTCCATTGTCATTCTAGGAGAGAATGAATCGCATTCATACAGCAGTTGAGCTGAGTTTGATTTACTAATCTATATGTAGCCCACAACTCTTGAAAGTAGATAACAAAATCATGTCAAATGGAAAAAAATAGTTTAAACAGGGTCTTAATGACCTATTTGGAACCCAAATTTGACAGTGGCAGATGGAATTAATGGATAATAAAATGAAGTTTTTAAGGAGAGTTATCCTAGTAACCAACCTATATTTCAGTTTTTCACTTAAACTCAGGATCTGGCTCTTTATTACATGTATAATTGTCCAACATACAGTCAAACTCTCATTTTGCATGAGGTTGATATTACTTCAGGGAAAACACTGCTATGATTATACAGTGATTACCAGTAACAATACAATCCTTTACATTTTCATATTCTGTTACACTGGCTATCAGCTGGTTACTATTATGATGCATAAGACAAGAAGAAAAGGAGAGTTTAAATGGATAGTGCCAAATATATTTATATGTTCCATTTCGGTTT